GCCCACGCACCGCTGGCCGCCCGGGGACAGGCCGGACATCCTCTCACTTGAAGGGCTTTGCTTATGCCATAGCTCAAAGGGTTGTCTTGAGAAACTTGGAGCATTTCATCATGAGCCTCTGCCTTACCCTGCACGGCAGGTAGGGGGCGCTGGCCTGCTTTCCTTGAGGAAGGGCGGGGGCATCGGTTTGGGTTTGCTCGTGAGAGCCCACAGATTCTGTCCCTGTCAAGACTAGGGGAGCAGAGAGTGAGACTCAGTTCTCATCCAGGGCCTGATCTTACTTTTTTTCTAATTATTATTTTTTTATTGATTTTTTTACAGAGAGGAAGGGAGAGGGATAGAGAGTTAGAAACATCGATAAGAGAAAAACATCGATCAGCTGCCTCCTGCACACCCCCTACTGGGGATGTGCCCACAACCAAGGTACATGCCCTTGACTGGAATCGAACCCGGGACCCTTGAGTCTGCAGGCTGACGCTCTATCCACTGAGCCAAACCGGTTAGGGCTGATCTTACTTTGGGGTATGGCTAATGCTTCGTTTTCTAACGTCACAGCCACAACAGATTAGAAGCAGTAAAAGTTTAACACTCAGAGCAGGAAAAGCAGTGACTAACAGGCTAATAAGAGATATTTAAAAATGAAGAAGCCAACATTCTGGGATTTTTTTTTTTGAAAAGCAGCATTCTGGGAGCATTTGTTGAAGCAGGGCCACCAGCTCTCACAGACACTATTCCTCGGGCCTTGGAGCCTCGGGGAGTGATGTCGAGGCACCAAGGAGGACACTGTGTGCCACGGGCTCCGGAGGAGAAGTCAGGCTGCGGCCACAGGTATGCGCACGCATGGCCTCAAGGGGCGAAGTGAAATAAGCCAGAGGGATGCCTTCTCCCCTCCTCACGCCGACAGCTCTGATCTGCTTCTGTGACGGACTTCCTAGCCCATGGTAAGCCCCTAGAAGTAACCCCGTGGGCGGGACTGGGTGACGCTGCGTGAAGCCGGGTCTTTCTAAGCGGCGAGAGCCACGTGCTGGGCTTGAGAGAGCTTGGCTGACATTAGGCCCGGAGACGCCACCCATAGAGCCGCGCTGTCCCGATGCGCGCAGCTGGGGAGTTAAAGGCCATAGCCAGTCCTGTTCACAGCTGTTGGGGACCGAGCCCTTCGGGGTGGGGGGGGCTGTATGTACCATCGTTTCACTTTTATGCCCCACTCCCCCAGCTTCTAGTGCAACTGAGTTCTTTTTTGCGTGTGGCCCTGTGCGCTATACCGGCACTTAGGATGCTCTCAGAGCATAATTCTTTTTCTTATCCTCCCAAGGATATGT